CCAAACGGGACAGGCAAAAAAAACCCCCATCAGAGCAGCGTAACAACGGGAAAACCACGCCGACGGGTTGTTGGGAAACATGAAGTGAGCTGCAGCTTGGGGGAGGCTCAGAGGGGACTATGTAGTAATGGGGGAGGTGGAGGGGGCGTTGTAGAGCTGGGGGGTCAAATATATGTAGGAACAGGAAGGGGTGTGTTTGGAGGCGTGGTCCTGCTCCTGAAATTCAGATAGTTTATCTCCAATTAATAAAGTCCCTCAAAGGCTTCCATACAGAGCAGACACGCTGGGCTCTGATTGGTCCTCACACTTAGACACTGTCTTCATGCTGGGAGGAAACTGTAGGACTGAAGGGAACTGTGGACAGCAAGAAGATTCATGTTACTAACGGTGATCCCCTCAGAGCAGAGCAGACCTCACACACAACCGTCCTTCATCACTGACGACACAAAAGATTTTTAACCTCAGAAATGATCGATGATAGTTTAGGTTCTAATGAAGCTGTGAATGATGAGAGAGTTAAACACACTGAGCTGATGACGCGAAGATTTAATCCAACTCCATCCACCAGCCTGCAGTTCCTCTGGTGTCCAGCAGAGGCAGCAATGAGTCAGTCGTCATAGACTCCCATATTACAATAAACTTGTTCACAGCCTGATACACACAACAGCTGTTTAAATCACGTTTTTGCATTATTGGGGGCGTGGCCTCTGTGACTGACAGGTGGATGGTGACGCAGGTGGTTGTAGCTGTTAGCTTCACCTGAGCTGTTGGAGCCTTTATAATGACATCACAACACCATGGCTCACTGAAATAACAGAGTGCCAGAGGAGGCGGAGCCAGAGTAAAACTGAGCTCCAAATAACTAACAGCATGGAGGTCAAACTCAGAGAGAGCTTCACAGCCTTTCTATTGTTTCTATTGTTTCTATTGTTTCTACTTTGTCTGATCACTTCCTGTTTGTACTGCGTGCTCAGACGAGCTGCTGGTACTGCAGTCTGTACTGTGAACACTGATCACTGAAGTGCTTTTACCATCAGGGTCAGAGTGTGCCTACCATAGAGGGGCTCTTCCTCCGGTTTCTTCTCCTTCTCCTCTTCTTCGTTCTTGTTACCCTCCATCATCACATAAATGTTCTCCTCCTTCTCCTCCTTCTGACCTGTGAGCAGATTATCACTCAGTCAGGTCTCCTTATCAATGATCTGCTGTGGAGCCAGAGCTGTCTCTGATTGGCTGCCATACCTGTGGTTATCTTCCTCTGAACCCTCCTCTTCCTCAGGATGAAGACCACGATGAAGAAGAGCAACAGAACCAGCAGGACGACGCAGACGGACACTGAAGACGCCACATGGCTGCTGCTGCGGTCTGAGGACAGAGAGACACAGCTGATCTTCACATCACAGCTGATGACGTCATGTGGTGGCAGAGGGAGCAGCTGAACATCAGCAGCTCTCCTGGTCTGAGTTTCTTAGGTGCTTACACCGTGGTTGTGAAGCAGCATTAGTTATACAGGTGAGCTAGCAGATGGTCACATGACTCGCACAGACTCACAGATCGTTACAATGAAGGCATGTTTGTGAGTGTTTCACAGTGATGTGTGTTATTGTGTGACAGTTGTGATCAGGCATCCACACAATGTCCACCTGCACACAGGTTATCTTCATCATTATCATCATCAAGAAGTGTGTGTCATTGGTCAGTTCTTTTTGGGCTGTTTCCTGTTTTACTTTGTTTCTCTGGTTTCCTGGTGGACATATACCTGCTGCACTGTATGTGTCGCGGTTCTGGGTCGGTGAGTGTTTTTGGTTTTGTTGTTATTATTTCTGATCTTGGATTGCATCATGCTTTTGGACTACCAGTGTTTTGGTTTCTGTTTTCTACTCTGTCTGTGCATGCCATGTTTCCTGTTTTAATTTGAAAGTCTGTGTCTCATGGCACTGTTTCTGGTTTTGCTTCCCCTGGTCTCATGTGTGATTACTCCCAGCTGTGCTCTCCTCCTGTGCCCTCGTTATCCCTCAGTGTATTTTAGCTCAGTGTTGCGTCGTACCCTCGTTTTTCTGTGTGCACTCTCGTCGAGTCCCGGTTGCTTTTTCCCGGAGTGAGTCTCTTAGTTTCTAGGTTCCTGTTTGAAGTCTAGTTTCTAGTTCTGCATTTGAGGTTTTGGTTTGTTTTTCTCATTTTTATTGTTTTAAGAGTCGTTCAGCAACAAAACTGTGCCCTAAGTCGTCCCCCCCCCCTACCCCCCTGTTTCTGAGTCCTGCGTTTTGGGTCCTTCATCTTACCTGCAACACAGCACTGAACTATGCGACCACGCAGCGGACGCAGCGGCATTCGCTCCATCAGAGGAGCTCCGGGAGGACATTATTTACACTGTGAATAAGCTATGCAACCAATGGCTGAATCATCCTCATACAGTACTTTTTGGCTCCACACCCTCCACCTTCACCCTCCAGCTGCGGCTGCTCACCTGCTCCAACTGCTGGAGGATTTCTTGCCCGGCCCGCCGGATGTAACGCTACCCCGTCTGTCGGTTCCTCCATCTTCCCAGAGAAAGCGGTGTTCACGCCGCCACCACTCGTCGCTCGCTGAGCAAACCCTGGTGGTGAGTGAAAGTTTTTCGCACACTCAGCCTGGATTAATTTCTACAGTCAGTCTACGCTGAGCCTGTTAATTCTGTATCAGTCACTCCAGAGTCTGTGAACTCCCGATGTGAGGATTTCATTCTTAATTATCATTGTACGGTTCCCTGCACCTCGAAATTAGATAGCAAGACCACAAAGGTGCAAAAATAAAAAACAATATACATAAAGAAAATAAACAATATAAAAACACTATATACACAATGTATAAGCTAAAGGGAACATTGTGTATACAAGGGGGTGTATACACAATCATATAATATGATAAATAGGGTGGGCCGTGGTCATTAAGGATAGGGATGGTAAGATATTGCACAGGAGCAATAGCAGCGACAGAGTGGATGTATTGGAGAAGTCTGTTCACACTCTTAGTTTGCATTAAGAGTTCTGACAGCCCACGGGAAGAAGCTGTTGGTTTTGCACCTGATGGATCTGAACCTTTTTCCAGAGGGCAGGATGTTGAAGAGGTGATGGTTAAGATGGAGGTGGTCCTTTATAATCGCCCTGACTCTGGAGACATCCTGAGCTGGCAATTAAGTCCAGGGAGGAGAGTGGACAGCCAATCACCTTCTCTGCAGTTCTGATGACCCTCTGGAGTCTCTTCTTGTCAGCTGTTGTGCAACCAGCGTACCACACTGTAATGGCGTGCACCAGCACGCTCTCGATAGTGGCTCAGTAGAAGGACACCAGGAGATCAGTCTGCAGCCTGTTCCATCTCAGAACCCTCAAGAAGTGGAGGCGCTGCTGGGCTTTGTTCACCAGGGCTGATGTGTTTGTGGACCAAGATCGGTCCTTAGATATGTGGGTGCCGAGGAACTTAAAGGAGGGCACCCTCTCCACATAGTCACCTTTTATGGAGAAAGGAGGGGGATCAGTTCTTGTTCTGCAGAAGTCCATGACCACTTCCTTTGTTTTCTTGGTGTTTAGGGTGAGGTTATTGTAGCTACACCATTCGGTCAGTCGCTGGACCTCATCTCTGTAGGCGGTGTCATCATCGTTGGTGATGGGGTGCATGGTAGTGATGTGTCCTGTGTGTCGAAGCTTCGAAGCGTGTGTCGGGTAATCTCAGGGGAGTTTTCGTGAAGCGCGTGTCAAGGCTTGCTTTGATTACGTGTGCAGTGACGTTCGAGGCCTCGCGGGCATCCGTACCATGTGACTGTTTCAGGAACTGGCTCGCCAGTTTGCGCCACATTTGAAATAAAATGGGCAGCAAAACACAGCTGATTCCCCCATCACGTTGTGTTGTGGAATTGGATTATCCCTTTTTTTGCTCCTCCCCTTTTGTGAGTGTGGACGCTTTGTCTCTTTGCTCTTTAAATGCTTTGCTTCTTTTATTGATTTTTATTGATTTTTATGCTGATTTTTTCCCTTTTTTCCGTATGAGCTTACCTGCAATAGCTTCTGGAC